TTCTTTTGCTTTCATTGCTTTGCTGTCTCCTACTGCCATGGATAGCTGCCCCTCTGCCATGTGCCACTTGGCTGGAGCCAACAGATTACAGATTGAAACCTCTACAAACTGTGAGCTAAATAAACCTTCCACCCATTAACTCTGGGTGTTGGATATTTTGTCTCAGCCATGAGACAAAAGTAACTAAGACAGCCATATACCCTGTAAGTCGAAGAGCAGGTATTAGAACCACCCAACAACCTGTGAGGACCCACACTCTTTGGCAGGTCCTGCCAAGCCCCTCTGTCATTTCATCTTACATCAAAAACATGTCTGAAGCACACAGAGCAGACATGTTTGGGGATCCAGCCATAAAATACATCACTGTGGGTCAAACTCCAACAATCCATGGGCTATTGACTGGGCACTGCTCTGGCCTTTACTGGCCTTTATATTGGTAGAAAATATCAGATGAGAGGGTAAGTGCAGATGCCACGAACGGTGGAAAAAAAAGAAGCTCCAGAAAAATGGGGGCTGTCCACCAAAATTCAGAAACCGATGCCTGAATAGTAAGTGACAGTACTGTTAGTAAATGATAAGCCACCAGCATCTTAATATATTTATTCATGTAACCCTACAAGGCAGGTACCTACTACTATCCTATTTGACAGATGAGAAAATGGAAGACAGAGAGGTAGACTGAGAGTAAAGGGAAGAGCAGGTCCTGACCCGGGTAAGAGCCCTCCCACTCCACCCCTGTCAGGTGCCCCGGCAGACGGTTCCCACTCTACTTGCAAATGATGTTTCCAGAGAGAACATGAAGAGAAAATGAAAATGCTCTTGCAATGATGAAAAGCTATGGCACCAAACAGAAAAGTAAAATAATTGAAAATGTCTTCCTCCTCTTTGAAAATAGGCACAGGACTCTTTATCTGGAATGATTTAAATTCAGTCCCACTACAGCATTTGCCCTGATACCTGTGGGAGTGCCAATGGCAGTTAAAATAATGACACTGCTATATATAGACGTCTTTGTAGAGGAGGGAGAGAGAAAGACGGGTCTGGGTGTATTTGTGTGGGGGTGCTCATCATGTCGCTCCCTGAGCCCACATGCAATCAGACACCCTTTGAAATGGAAAGGCTGATGGCAGACAGCCGCCCACTCTTGCTCAGGTACCTGAAATAGCCAGGAGCCTGGAGGAAGCCACAATCTGCACCCAACTCCCTCCATCCCAAGATGCACACTCTCGCTTTCCTTTCACACCACTCCTTCTATCGCCCACGGAAATTCAGTCCCCTGGTCCTGGTAAACATACGAAGAATAAGGTGGAATCACACTTTGAAGACTTGTACTGAGAATAATGACAGAGAAACATGTCTTTTGTGCGTGGTGTTTTTTAAAAAGAGTGAAACAGCTAGTAAACCAGATAAATCAATGTTCATTATAACTCCAGGAGGCCCGTCTACTACCATCTCCATTTGAGATCGTGTTGATTGCTTACTGAATTGAACCTGCACTGGGCTGGATGCAGCAATCATTTTAACTAATTTGGGACAGTAATCTTGTATTGAAGTAGTGTTTCTAGGAATAACTTTCTGAGGGTTTCCTTGGTACAACAGAGAAGCAGTGGTGGCATATAGAAGGTGCTCAGTCTTAGAATAAGGACATTTGCAGACAAGACAGGTCACAGATGTGAGGTGTAGCACACATGGTAAAATAAATACGTCAGGAAGAGAGGCATGAACTCTGGAGCCCCTGTTGGTGAGCCTGTGTGACCCTGAGCAAATTACTTCACTTTCATTTGTGAAAAAGGGACAGTTTTAGTACCAACCATAGGGTTGTTGTGGGAATTAACTGGGTTACTGAGGTAAACAGTGCCTGGCCTACCATTAAGTACTACATGTACACTTCATGAAGAAAACAGAGGCACAGACTAGGGGAATTTGGGTAGGGAGCATGGAGGTACTGAGGAGAGGTCTCCTGAAGTAGGATAACACAGACAGAGTAGCCACTGAGCAGGAGAAATAGGAACACCACACCTTGACTCAGCAAGCTCAAAGGGAAAGCGTCTTATGCATATTTTCATGATGTTTGGGACTCAGCTTCTGTTCTCACTGCCCCTGCTCCTCTCCCTCTTCTATGGAGAGCTAGATACCAAATATAAAATAAAGCTATTGTTCAGAAGAGAAAATTCATTTCTGGAAAGAGTATTTTAAAGGGAAAATAGGAGACCGTGCTCTTAGAGATGTTCCTTGGGCAGCATGAACATCATTAAAGAGAAATTTCTCACTTAAGATCATTTTCTGCTTTTATTTAGGAAGCTCTTGCCAAGCCAAAATGTCAAAACCAAAAACCAAAACAAACAAACAACTGAACAAAATATGGGACTGAGGACATACCAGGGTAGTTTTGAAGTACAGGGCAATTCTTCGAGCAAGGCAAACAACAACCAAATTGTTCGCTAATTGTGCTCCAGTGAAATTTCAGCAACTTGCTGAAAATTCCCATTGCTCTAGTATTTCTGCGCCTGTCTAGTTGGGGTGTTCTGCATACGTGTATCCATATATAAAACCTCTCTTTTTCATAGACACCCACATATCCTATAAATGGCTTTGAGCACTTGCCTAAATAGATGGGCACTTCTTAAAAATAAAATGTTCTGACCAAATCAGGTGCATAGAAATGAGGTCTCAATTATTGGAAGCAAAGAGAAAATATGACTTGGCCCAACAATTTGTACATAAGCAATAACTGCTACGTGTGCTAAAAATGCAGTGGCCCTAAGCTTGATTATATTTTTAATTTCGTGTTCATTTTTTAAATGTGTATAATATGTATGTTGTATAAAATTAGAAAATATAGATGAAGCCAATTTTTTTTCTTTAGTTTTTCTAGGCAAGGCTCACTCAGGCTGGCCCCAAAGTCACTACTTAGCCCAACTTAGACTCGAGATTGTGGTAAGCCTCCTGCCTTGGCTTCCTAAGTACGAGGATGGCAGGTGTGTCATACCAGGGCTGGCTCAAAGCCAACAAGTCTTACTCTTAGAACCATCATTTTGGTGGCACTATCAGGAGGAAACAGTCCCCAAACTGTGTGGCCAGAGAAGTCTGGAAGCCTTTAAAAGGATTTGCTTCTATTTCCTAAGCCAAGCAATGAGGCGCATTAGATGAAACAAAGCAGCAAAAATCCAGGGCTCAAAAGACCTACCACCTACTTGCTTACTCACAGATGCTGTACCATGAGTACACGGTGGGCAACACTCCCCACCTCTCAGCCAATAGCTGCACTGAAGAACTCTGCACAACTTGGGGACACAGTCCTTCCTATGATAAGGCTGTCAATATATCCTAGCGCTCAGAAAACTCTGTTTTTCTCAGCTAGACTGATGACTCTTCCATAATTTCTGGTAATGCGCTTTCAGAGAAAACTCTCCCAGGGATGGGATGCCTATTCCTACCCCATGGCACCTTCCAGCAACCTGGGGCTAAATGTGACTCTGGTGCTCGAGGTGTAATGAGCACCATGAAGCACTTGGGACCTAGGGTCACAGTACTTGTCCTGCTTAGGCTGCTATCACTTACGAGTAGGTCACACAGAGCCTTAGGATCCTGTCAGGTGTGCTGAAAGAGGTACTAAAGTATATTTCTTTCTTCCTCCCCCCGTGGCCAAAATCAATTTCTATGCAAATACTTCACTTATAACATTTTTGAACAGCATAAGGCTTCCACTTTAATGGGAAGATCTGGAATCACTGCTGTAAGGGGCACTGAATACTTCTGGAAGAGAAATGACTTAACCCACTCTTAGGCATTAAGCCTCACAGAACCTAAAGGAAATTCACTTGTCTTCCAAAAACTGGCAAACTCTACAGAAACCAAGGTCAGCCTCAGCTCCAACTCCAGAAGCTCCATGAAAGAGATGAAGCTAACTTCCTAACTTGGTTCCTGGAGCTCAGAATGCACGGCCTTATGAAAGCTGTCAACTGATCTACAACATGTTATTCCCATGTCTTTCTTAGGAGAGAAGACAACTGGCTTCTGTTTGGAGACACAGAGAAAAAAGTCTTGATTCTCTTTGGAGTCCCACGGTTCCCTTGAGGCTGTAACATAAATAACTGCAATTTCCTGGTGCATGTGCAGTCTGTCTCCACTTTTTCAAATCTCTCCTTAGTTGTCCCATTTTTTTTTTTTTTTCTTCAGAACCAGGGATTGAACTCAGAGCCTTGCGCTTGCCAGGGAAGTGCTTATTCTACTGAGCTATCTCCCCAGCCCCATTTGAGAGAAATCTCCGATTGCCTCATAAATACAGCTGCTTTGTCACTCTGATATTCTTAGTTCTGAACATGCATCTGCCCACATGCTCTCACTAGAAAGCTTCTTCTTCTCCTTCTCCTTCTTTGGGGGGGTACCAGGGATTGAACTCAGGACCCTGCACTTGCCAGGCAAGCGCTTATTCTACTGAGCTCTCTCTGGCCCCTAGAAAGCTTCTTGAGGATGGCAGAGGTTTATCTGCTCGTGGGTTGATCCCCACCTCTAAAACTTATAGTAGATGAGGACATTGTTCCTCATCTCAGCAAATTGTTAAATGAATAAACATCAGACTCACCCAGGTGAGTTATTCAATAAGGCATTTATTTAAGCCTTAGTAGAAATCACCCACTCTGCACCTCTGAGAAGCAGACAGCTATTTTAGCCCTGAAAACGACCAATCGCATCCCTGCCAAGCATTTTCACATCTCAACCTCCACAATGGAGAAGGTCATTTGTAATGGAAAGTCTTACAGTTATTTTTTCACCACTGTCAAAATGGACAGGTTGATGTCCCACTCTGTGGCATAAGGAAGATGCTTCTCCTTGCATGGATTTATCAGCCATCACATTTGATGAAGCAACAAGCTCTGGATGGGACCTGTCTTGGTTCTAGCTAAATGGGCTTCTCACAAGGAGAAGGACCTGGAAGAGGGCGTGACCTGGGAGCTACAAGAGCATTCCTGTCATGTGGGCGCGTCACAGGCACTTACTACTGGAGCAGGAGGCTTCTTTAGGGCTGCAAGACATCGGCTGGGCGCAGAGCTGGCACAGGCAGTCTCTCCCATTGAATGTGACCCGGTCTCCGGGGGGAAACGGGCGCCTGGAGATAGAAACACACCCCTTCCAGGTTATTCCAGCAATTTCATTTCTTTTCCTTATTCTTTCTGCTCGCTGCCCTCAGGGACAAATTTATTTCTTAGAGGAGCACCAGCTGAGATGGCTGAAACGCAGCTATGTCCAAGCCAGCCAGCTGGCCATGGTCCAAATAAACAAACAAATACGCCTTAGCATGAGAAAAAGAATGCACAGCTTCTATAACCACTTAACAATTAAACAGAATGATTTATGTCCAATTGCTAGTGGAGTGGCGTCCCAACAAGTCACCCATCAGGGCTTAAAGAACAGTAAATTTCTGAATAGAAAATCTTCATAGAGAAACATTTTAAATGCCATGAGTTCCAAGCGAAGCTGAGGCTGCACCCCACTGGTTGCTGGCCATCAGGAACCCTTCCAGCTCCCTGGGACTACGCCTAGAGTTCTATGACGGCTGTGCTGAGCTCGACTCTGTCCTTTCTAGACATCTGAAAGCTGCCGTGTTGGAGACCCTGCCCCTTATGGGCTGAGAAAAAGGGCACAGGCTACACAAAGATCTGGTTAAGAATTAGTAGCAGCTGTTTTTCAGAAAGGTAATTTCCTAGTACCTGGACATGGATCAACAGCAGCGCATCCTACAAAGCTATTCCATCCTGCAGGCATGCTAACAGTTTCTCCTCTCAGGTCCCCGGATGGACAGCCTTTAGAAACCTAAGTCATTCATTAACAGTTATGGCAGTTTCCAGGCCTGCTGGCTTGCCACTGGCCAACCTGCTGGTGATCCTCATCAGTGGGTGTGTTCACAGGTCTGATGTGGTCAGTTAGGAAATGTGAAACAGCCAGACGTCACAAACCTGAGTCAGAGGCCATCGCTCCCAAGCAGGCCCAAGCTTCCTGCCATTGTTTTTCTCTTTTGCAGCCGCTATTTTCCTTTAACCCTTCAGGGAACTAACAACTGTATTGCAATACATGTACACAGGTAATATTTTTAAAGAGAATAAAACATAGTAGAAAGAATGAATTAGATTAAGTGAATTTAGATTCAGAAGCCCAGAGTTCAAATCTCAGCCTTCCAAGATTAACCTGCATAAGTCTTATACTCTGAGATGCTTATAGATAGTAATTCTAGACTTCACAGAATTGCTGAGAATGTTAAATAAAATTATATGCAAATACAATTAATAAACCATAAAGAAGTTCCCAATTTAGCTAGCATTATCATAATTTGGAAGCAATATAGAATTTCACTAAGCAAAATGACAGGAATTCAATAATGGTTGTTATATTGCATAAGGTTATATTTAAATTAGTTATTCAAGTGCCCAGATATAAGCATGCAAAATTGGTTAAAAAATTACCAAAAAAATAAAATGGAAAAGGAAAAAAAAAACCAATTAAGCATTAATGAAATGTCCTCCTTGCCACTGTGTAGAGGTCTGCATATTCTTAGACAGGGGCACCTTGCTTCAAGAACTTAATTCTTCCTAGAATTCTGGTTGCAGACCAAATTCTTTGATTTAGTTCTTGTCCAATTTGGTTTGTGACCAGATCGCAGAAAGAAGTAAGGTCGTGAACTGAGGTACCACAAGATCCCCAAATGTTGAAAGTTCTAAGAAGTGCCGCTCCAGGCAAGGCCCAGAGAGGGTGAGTGACTTGCCTGCATTGAGCAAGGGGAAGATGGTGTTTCCCGGCGGGAACCTGCCCTGTCTTTAATAATTAACATCAGTTACTTTCTGGGGGTGTCAGTGGGCCAGTCCTTTTATGATCATTAGTTAAAACGAAACAAGCCTGGAAGCCATTCTGTAAGGGGTGCCAGAGCTACCGGCCCATCACAGAAACAAGCACAGGCTCTCTTGCCCCGATCAGGCCAAGGTCTGGCTGAGGCCAGAGGGGTGCGGGCTCCAACACAGAAGCACTCACTGTTGGGCTGTCGGGCCCTTGAGTGACAGGACAGGGAGCACCCCTCTACAAGCTGCACCCCAGGTGCCTCACTAAACTCGCTTGAATTTAGGAACACTTAGGATCCACGCTCGTATTATACACAAAGCCCCCACGGCACAAGCTGGAGTCCAGGGTTCAACACGGGGCCAGGCCCTCTGAAGCTAGAATTTTGCCACTTTATAAAGGGCCTTCTCAGTTTTCCCCTCCTGCACTCCGTATCCTCTGCCCTTACAGTTTGCTTTCTGTATGGATGAATGTTTGCAATAGAAGTGAATTTATATTCAGAAAGCCGGAGTTCAAATCTCAGCCTTCCAAGATTAACCTGCATAAGTCTTATACTCTGAGATGCCCATAAATAGAGTTAGTAATTCTAGACTGAATTCACAGAATTGCTAAGGGTGTTAAATGAAATTCTATGTGAATGCAATTAGTAAACCATAAAGAAGGTCCCAATTTAGATACTGTTATCATCATTTGGAAGCAGCAGCTGCCACTGAATAGTCCCGGCTGAGCAATCTTAATCCAAAAATTCAAAATGCTCCAAATTCTGAAATGTTTTGAATGCTAATGTAATGCCATTGTGGAAAATTCCACACCTGACCTCATGTGATGGGTCACAGGCAAAATGCCGGCGCATTAGAAATACTGCATACTCTTACCTTCAATCTGTAAGATCTGCTGTATGTGAGAAAATCAATTTTGTATCTAGACTTGGGTCCTCTCTCCCAAGACACCTCATTATGCATATGTAAATATCCCCAAACCTGGAAAAATATGAAATCTAGGACACTTCTGTTCCTGAGCATTTCAAATAAGCGGTGCTCAACCTGTAACCATGCTGAGCACCCATGAGGGCTCAACGTCCAGGGACAGGTTCTTGCCAGCTACATTTGCCCACTGTCACACTGACTTCAGCACATTGTTTTCTCTGGGTCAGAACAGATGGCTCTCAGAGTCTACCTGGACCAGCAGCTTCCAACTGGGCCGAGTAACACCATAGTTGGGAACTCTCCAGAAATCAGGATGGACTTGGGACATTTTTAAAGGGATCGCAGCCTCACCAGCCCTAGGACGTTTCAGCAATCAGGCAGCCTTGGGGAGTGCTCGCCCATAGCATCCCTCCTCCCATGCTTCCTTTTTGATAGCAGGTGGCTTTGACTTGGCAAATCTCAGTAACAAAGGCTTCCAGTCAATTCAGGAAGTGGAACCAGATTTGGATCTCCTTGGCGTTTACACATCCAAACCTTAAAAAGGAGATGGTAGGGGGGACCTTCACTTTGACTACCTAAGTATCATACTCTGCTTGTGAAGCTCAATTTTTTAAAATTACTATTTCAAAAGCAGTGATTCAGAAATGGGCTAATCTTTATTAAAAGCACAGAGGAGTACTGCTCTGCCATAAAGAAAGATAAACTTGAGTCATGTGGAGAAAAATGGGGGCATCTTGAGGTCACAGTGTCAAGTGAAATATATCAGGCCCACAAGCTCAAATATCACTTTTATATGAGACACCAGAATAACTGTAATAACCAAATGAGAGCTAGTAGGAAGCATCGAGGTTGGGCTTTCTTAAGGGACGAGGGGACCAACAGATGGAAGAGAAGGGAGGAAAGGGGGTGAAAAGAAGCTTGGGTGTGCCGTGTACGTGCGCCGACGCCACATCAGGAATGTGAATAAGCACGTACTGATTCATTAAAAAATGACTTTATGAAAATACTGCCTCTGACTTAGGACTTTTTATCAGTGTTACTTGTTATTAGTTGTATAAAATTCAACCTACTCTTTCAGATGACTAAGTGCATCTTTGTGGCTTAGAAACAAGAAACACTGCCTAGCAAGGCATCTCCTTCTGAAGGGCAGCTCTGGACCCAGGCATAGCAAGATGGATCGGGTCCCCAGTACAGAGGGCAGGGGACAGTGGCTAGAGCCGGTCAGTTAAGGAGCTGAGCCTCGCTGGCAAGTCTCCTAGACAGGGGTGGCACACCCTTCAGTTTCGTAACATGCAGCACCAGAACACAACACCACAGCTTCCCACTCAGGTTTCACATAGCTTTTCTCTTAGACTGATCATTTCAATCGGGTTCCTTTATACAGCTAAGATTTAACATTGGTAGGTGACAGGCACCTAAACAGCAACAACAACCCCCCACCCCACCCCAAGACCCACTGTAAGTATCTTCTCAGACTTGGAGAACCCTACGGGCCATCCCCACTTCTCAGCACTGCCACTGCAGCTTCCACAGCAGCCCTGCACGGAATTCAGACAGATGGATGTGGCCGTGGGCCCGTAAGGCTTTATCACAAAAGCAGGTCTGGGGCCTCCTTTGGTCTGTGGGCCATCATTTGCCAACCCCTATGACATAGAAAAAAGAAATGATTTTAAATGCACATGTCACATACATAAGAACTTTACTTCCACATGTGCTTCGGGTGGCTGTCCAATCCTCCACCAATGATTTATTATTCAAAATGCTCTGAGGCTTGCTCTGCTTCCAGACTTGGTTTGAGGTCCCTTGAAATGAGCCATGTCACCTTGCAGAGAACATCACGTATCACGTTTCCTGACTGACCTACACTTTGACTAAGATTGAAAGCTCTGCAGGAAGAGGCAAAAGAGAAAAAGGGTTTGAAGAATAAATACCACACAGACCAAAGGAGGCCATCCAAAGCATTCATGGGGGAAGCCAGCGTTTTCCTGTTGGAGGAAGCCCCAGGCTTGGGAGAGACGGTCACTTACTTGCAGATCGTACAAGCGAAGCAGTTGGGATGGTAGGTCTTGCCCAGGGCGGTCACCACTTCCCCCTCCACGAACTCCCCACAGCCATGGCAGCGGGTCCCGTACATCCGCTGGTAGTCCAGGGTGCAGAGATACTCCCCGTTCTTTATGAAGAAGCCCCCTTGGGCCAGGTCACAGCCACACACTGTGGAAAGACAAGCCACATCTGGTTACGGTCTCCCAAGCCACTGGGAAGAGCTGTCTTCTACTGAACGCGGGCTACTCACTATGAGCTCAGTGGTTTGGGGCTAGAGGAGGGGACTGATACAAAGAGCTATTTATTGTTGGGCTCTGCTTTCTCTCTCTCCTCCCTCCCCTTGGGAGCTATGAAATATCTCATACAAGTAAAATCCACTGGCTGGGTCTCAATGGCTTCTGTGGTATGTCTAAGATTCAGAGGTAACCAGTCTCTGATGGAAAGATATGCCGAGTTCAGGCTGGCTCAGATATGAACAAAGATGTCCCTGGCAGGGCCATTAGGAGAGGTGCCCACTGCCTGCCCACATAGCTCCTTGCGTTGGGCCAAGATTGTTACTGAATTGAGTAATAAATTCCCACTATTCCAAAAGCAGTAGCTGAAATTTCCAAAAGCTATTTTTTCATACTTTGGAAATACTTTTTTCATACTTAACAGAAAAAATCAGACAGCAAATTTTCTCTTTGTGCAGCAAACAGCATATGCTAATTATTTATACATTATACAAAGAGGAAAAGACAGCCAAGCAAAGAGGGAAGAAAAGGGGTCAATTCTAACATAAAACTCATTCACGACCTCCATTCATGCAAAAGAGGATGCTTTGTTGTTATTATAGCTTGGGTCTAGGTGTCCCCCAAAGCCTCATGCAGTCTTGGGGCAGACTTTTAAAGTTTGTGATTCACTCATGATCCACTGGGATTATGGGTCTGAGGACTGCTGGGATTATGGGTCTGAGTGCTACACCTAGCCTGGGGCAGATAAGGAGGGGAAAGATTTGCTCTCTGTAGCCATTGCTGCTGCTGCTATTCCTCCCATTTGCTCTTGCTGTTTTGCTGCCTTCTGCCACCATGAGCTGCTGCCCTCTGCCATGTTCCAGTCTGCCTTGGAGCCAGCTTTGTATGGACTGGAACCTCCATAAACTGTGAGCAAAATAAACCTTTCCTTCCTCGTTTCTGGGTGTTGGGTATTTGTCCCAGCAACAAGAGAAGAGTAACTGAGACAGGTGCGCCTTAATTTTGGTGTCGTCTCTTTCTACGTCATGCAGTTATGGCACTCAGAGATGGAACAAACAAGCAGGTCTTGGGCCTGGTCTGCATGTCTAGACAAGACCCAAAAAGGTCATGACAACTCCTCCATAAATAAAATCTAAAGAGATCCCTTGATAGGAAAGATATTTTTCCCGGTCAAATAACTAGAAAACAACAGAGAAAGCTGGGAACCTCCAACCTTAACTTGTCTATTGCCAAGGTTAGGTGACTCTCCTAAAATTAAGGGCCCTGGGCGAAGAATCCAGTATTATTTTTTTGTTATTCCTGCAACATGGTAGGAAAAACATTTGGTTGGGCTGGGTGTAAGCTACCAAGGTAGTCAAGGTGACAAAGCAGCTACAAATGAACTTTCCACTCAGACTCATTGGTCTTTGCTTAGCTCAACACGCCACAGATAGGAGTTGTTCTTTGCAATTTATAATTAAGTAACTCAAGATTATGGCCAGAGTCCATCAGGCCTGAGACTGACCACCCTATAAATACTACTATGATCCTATTCTCTGGAAAACAGCTTGTTTGCCACCTGCCGCCTCCTGTCACCTGCCAGCACCTCCTGCTGCCCCCACGGTTCTCACACCTGCTTCTTCCTTACCAAGTGGGCCATGCGGGGTGCCCCAGGAGGGACTAGTCTCATGTTGACCTCAATTCTTTCAGCAACCGGAAGTGATCCTGGGGATACTCATTAGAGCTTATTAGAGCAGAGAGCGCATTAGAGTTTTCTTCAGCAATTTGCTACGTACATGTCATTTTTTCCTCCCCAGTTGATAAGGTACTTTATGGGCAAAAGCTGTCATCTTTACTGTTTTCTTCAGAACTTCCAACCATAATCATCTGATAGAATGCAGGGCACAGTTTTTAAAATTGAACCCTGCCTCCGGTGTGGCAGGTTCCCACTGATTTTACACTGTGACATCATCCATGCTGATGACTCAGTTGCTCTTACAAACAGATATTTCTCACAGCCCTGAGAAGCGGCCAAACAACGCATTTGGATCACTAATCATTCCCTTTATTCTTACCTCCCACCACCTCATCTTGGTATGAAAATTCATAGATCTTTTTGTTTTGTTTTGTTTTTTTGAAGTACCAGGGATTGAACTTGGGAATTCATAGATCTTTTATAAAAACATCTGGTGGCAACAGAGGTCAGCAGTGAGAGTTTTAAAGCACACACTGAATGTCTCAGAAGTTCTTTGTGTCTACTGTTTCCTCACAGCACCTCTGTCCAGCACTCCCTGGTTCATGTGGCTTTGTGCAAGTGACATGCACTCTCATTAAATCCTAGCTTTTATGAACCCAGCATAGCCTTAAAAATGTAACACTGCTCTGTAATACTGCTGAGATGCCCCACTGAGATCTGACTTGCCTTTCTCCTTAAGTTCAAAGCAGTGGTGGCCCAAGCTGGTTTACTAGACTGTACCATTATTTCTCGTGGTTTAGACAACAAGGAAATCAACATATAAAAGGCAGGCATCCTTGTAAGGCACACCCAACATGCAGTGGGAAGAAAAGCCCGCGGAGCTAAACTTGCTATTAGTAACTTTCCTAGGCTTGGAGTGGGGTGACATAATTCCAGGCTCTTCCTTCTTCTGCACTCCACCAGTGGGGCTCAGTCTCAGGCCCCTAAATGCGTACAGCTCCTACAGAGCCATCTCCTTCTCTCAGAGCAGCCCTCAGCCACTCTCAGAGCTTCAGGGAGGTCTTAGCGCAAGGCATCTCCCACCGGGGATCTCTGTCTGTGACTGCAGACAACACCCTCGCCTCAGATAGGCCTCTTCCAAAGCGGCTCTCACCTCTCAGCTTCTCTGCTCGCCTCCCCTCAAAGATTCTGCTGTTTTTCTGTCCCCTCTCTCAATAAATTAGTAGCAGCAGTCACTTCTGCCCTCAGACACCAACAGTTTCAACTGGCTGGGAAATCCAACCTCGTTCCCCAACTGAACAATTCTCAGAGCCATGTCCCTCCTCCGTTTCATCCCTGAGATACTGGCATTCCGCCTCACATGCCTGCATTGAAACCATTTTGTTTAAATCACGATTGCACTGGCAAAATGAAAACAGAAACAAAATTGGAAAAAAAATCCATCAGAAATCTGAAAACAACCTGAATTTTCATCCATGGAGTAGCTGAATAAATTACATGTCTAATTTGTAAGCTGGCATTCAGGACTGGACTAGATCAACAGATAAAGCCAGCATGCAGTTTGTGATGTGTCATTAAGTGAAAAGAACTACTGTCACGGAATAAAGAATTAAAATAATCCTATTTTTAGAAAATTCTACTTACGTTTTTGTAAACAAGAAAAAGTGAGTTCACACAAATAGAGGGTAATTAAGCCCTCTCAGGAGAATGATGACTTATTAACTTTTTTCATAAACCTAAGTATGAGCTTGTTCTTAATTTTCTTTTCAGTTGTGACAACATATGTAAAATTTACCAGCCTAATCATTCTCAAGTGGACTGGCCTGCACATTAATTCATCCAGATCCCAGCAACTCTCTTTTCTATCCTTTGTCTTCTATGTGAATTTCACTGTTCTTCCTATCAATGGGAGCTTACCTTATTTTATTTTAAGAGGTTAAGAAAAATTACCCAAGGGGCTGGTGAGATGGCTCAGTGGTCTAAAGCACCTACTTAGAACAAGCTTAGCAAAGCACAGGGACCGCGGTTCAATCCCCCAGCACCACATGCCAGCCAGCCCCGCCCCCTGGTGGGCTGAGCTGGCCACACACACACACACACACACACACACAAATAAGTAAAATTAAAAAAAAAAGAAAAGAAAAATTACCCAAAACTTAGAAATCAGGTAAAAGGAGGAAAGTATGTTCTTTCAGTGTTGCTCTGGAGCATTGCTCAACAGCTCAGCAGGGATTAGTTCGTTATCCAGCGGAACGCATCAGTGCTGGACCAGCTTCTTACCACTGATGAAAGCTTCAGACTTTGCAAGTTAATGTCAACTCTGTCCTGAGAAGATGCAGGTGATTTCTGCCTCGCATTATAGTCCCAATGCAGAACTAACTGGTGCTCTCGCTCTCCAGCCGGCTCAACCTCACACTCCTTCCTGAGTGGCTGTGTGACCTGTCCCTTCAGCTGTCCTTCATGGCAGTGTCACCACCCTACTGCTTCTGTCACTCCTGAACTGAATAAATCCTTGACACAGCCTCGCTCAATATCTGTATGAGATCCACAGATTTAACTTCTTAGAAACATATTGACAAAGGTGTTACTCTTTTTTATCCAAAAGAAATGTAAATACAAACATTAAACACATTAAAAAAGATTTCGCTGATTTTATATGAATAGTTTAGCAAATATTTATAACTGATGGCATGAAGTTAGATGGGGTGAAAACAGAACAGTGTTTTAGTGGCATGAACAGGGCTCCAAAAGCATCTATGTCATTAACCTTCTAAAGACAGCAGCTACATTATATGTTCTAATAAATCCATCTCTCTGAAATGCCATCTGGCTGTCTACCAGGTCATACTGCTCAACACTTAGTAGAACGGGTCACACTTAAAATCCTCCCAAATGCAAACTTTTCTCTAGCTACAGCAGGGAATGCATACCTCTCTGCTGTGCTGCTCCCACTGGGCTGTGATCCACTTTGGCAGTTAACAGAGGGTACGGATGGGATGCAACATGGTCAGTGTTTCAGTATAGTTCTGGGCAACACAAGAATTTTACTGAGAAACCAGAGGCATTTGGTGGAGCCCTTTTCCTTTTTGCTAGGACAGGTACTGCTTGTCTTCCACTCTGCCAGTGATGCAGCCACTGTAGGGTACAAGGAGCTCTTCCGAACTTGCCCCATGATGCTGGGGTCTCAGACCTGGGTTACCCACTTTCATTTCTGGGGATAAGGACCATGTGCTTCAGAGGTGCTACTTTACCCTTAGTGA